TGCTGGTCCCATTTTTGAGGACTTTGCCCTCAATATTTGATCATTTCCTGAAGACCCCACCTTTTAATACTATCACACTGGAGTTTAAGTCCCAACATATTAATTTTGGAAGGACACATACATTCAGATCATCGCTTGGTGGTAGTATTTCATATTTCTAAGAAATATATAGGGTCAGCTGTAAGGATGGCGTGAGAGAAGAAACACTAATGGGAAGCCAGCTTGGATGTTCATAGATAGAGTCTGTCTGGTTTAGGTGTTGGTCTAATGGGAACTTACATCCTGGTTAGTATTATTCAATGAAGGGAAACTAAGAAGAAGAGGATTTGTTTAAATAAAGCAGTGTATTGGCAGACTCAGAGCTCACAGGCTTCGTAGATCTCTGTCACCATAGGGAACAAGACTTATTAGAAGAACATGTTAGAGAAACAGATGCCTTGTCCAGAAACTAAAGGGATGGTACAAGGAAAAGATACATCCAGTGTCAGCAGAAAAAAACTAGCCTTACATGTATTAGGGATGAAAAGGCCATCTTAATAAATTAAACTTGTTATGAATTCTATGTGGCCTTCCTGAGTGGGATAAAGAAACGGTACAGGAAGGTAAAACTCCAAAAGCAGATCTTCCTACTACGCACAATGCTGCATGCAGAGCCGCTTCTTTGTTTGGAATATTCAAAACCTTAGGAAAGACTGTCTTAGAGAGCCTGTGGCAAAGGTATTGGTTGTCACCAGGCTGCCAGGGGCTCAAACCTCAGAAGGTTCAGTTCAGAACCTGTAGAGGGTGATTCTATAGTTGAAACAAGTGTGCAATTGAGGCACCAGCTCCCCTAAAGGCAGCTCCTCATGATTTCAGAGCAGTCCCGAGTCCCAGGATGCTGATATTTGTTCTAGGGAGTTGAAGAGGAAGTGGAGACAGTGTCACCAGGCAGAGCCCATTGAGGAACACAGAGCTGAAGAGGACAAGGAGTTTTAGATGGTGTTGAATATACTGGATGGGAAGAGAATTTCTTTTTTATTTTATTTTTTATTTTTAGTTGTTGATAGGCCTTTATTTTATTTATTTATTTTTATGCGGTGCTGAGGTTTGAACCCAGGGCCTCACAAATGCCAGGTGAGCACTGTACCACGGAGCCACCACCCCAGCCCCAAGAGAATTTCTCAGCTTTGCAGGAAGTCAGTGCTGTTTCCTTTGAGAGAGGACACAATTTGTCTAGTGCAGTTTTTTTTTTTTTAATCAGATATGACCAATGAAGAGCTTGCCTACAAAACTGATGGGCAGTTTCTCCTAAACAGAGGTGAAGGTTCTAAGCCACGTTCACCTGGCATGCACTGGCTGACATGCCACCAAGGCTAAGACCCACCTGCTTCCCTCAGGTGTGGCTGAGGTTTTTCTATATATTTAGTCCTGGACCTGTAGCTTTGAGAGAATAAATGCTTTAGGAGTTGGGGATTGGCTTCTTTGCTGAAATCAGTTGGTGTGGAACCAGGACTGGGAGGGATTCTTTTGTAAATTCTGTGACCTCTTTGGGCCTGTGATCAAGTAAGGGACATATGAAAGACATTTGTCTTTTGAGGTCCTGAAAGGATATAGCTTGGGCTGTGAGGGCTAAGAAGGTAATGTAGATAGAGAAATTAATACATGGAGAATAACAGTGATCATTATCTTTATTTCAACAGAATGGCTCTTAGTGGGGCTGGTAGCACATGCTGTAATCCCAATGTCTTGGAAAGTTGAGGCAGGAGGATGGTAAGTTCAAGGCCAGCCTCAGTACCTCAGAAAGACCTTGTCTCAAAATGACAGATAATAAGAGCTGGGGATGTAGTCCAGTGGTAGGGTGCCCCTGGGTTCAATCCCAAGTACTGCAAGAAGAAAAAGAAAAAAAAAAATGAATGTTTCTTATACAAGACAAATTTTTCTTTTCTCTTTCTTTCTATAGTTTTTGTGTCTGTCAGTATGGCGAGAGGTGGGCCTAGAGATGCTGGAAAGAGCAAATCGGGCTACATGGGGCTGGGCCTCACCTTACCTAAACTCCTGCTAAGGAGTTTAGACTTGACTTTGAAGGGCATAGGTAACCATCAAGAGCTTTGGGTAGGAAACCTCAGCAATCATTTTTGTTAGAAAGTCACTCTGTCTGGAGTGTGTCTTGGACAACTGGATAGATGGCGATGACCTTCATAAGATAGGAAATTTAAACAATAGGGCTGGGGTTGTGGCTTAGCGCTATAGCGCTTGCCTAGCAAATGTGGGGGCCTGGGTTCGATCTCAGCACCACATAAAAATAAATAAATAAAGGTATTATGTCCAACTACAACTAAGGAATAAATATTAAAAAAATTAAACAACAAAACAAAGCTTAATGGAAGGCAGCGGTGGTAGTAGGGTAAGAGGTATGAAGACCTTTTGGGCTCTGAGTAAGTTCTAGACCGTGTGCTAAATGTTCTGCAATGTCATACTTATTACTACTATGGGGAGTTTACACAGGAGGAAATTCAGGCTCAGAACCGACACATATCTAGTAATGGAGTTAAAAAGTTGGAATTGGATGGATCGAGGCTAAAAATCTGGATTCTCCCAGCGTGGGAACTTGAGCATGTCAGTTAATGGGTCCACCATGGATATAACACTTAACACCTAAGATTCAGTGTGATGATGGTACAGGAGGCTTCAGCAGAGAGCCTGGCATGCAGTAAACACAGTGAACAGTAATTATCCCTGACAAGGTATTCTCCAATTATACCATAAACCTATAAGCCAGGAGTTATAAATATTCTCATTTTGTAGACTTGCAAAGCGAAGCCCAGGAAGGATCGTTAATTTATTTATTTGTGCAGTGTCAGGAAGCTAAATGAGTTTTCTGATTTCCAAGCCCCTCTTCTTTTTACTACACCAGGCTGTCTTTCATTTTCTTGGGAGCAGAATGGCCAATAATTAGCTTTCTGAAGTCTTGAAAAGTTATTAGCCTCCAGTGAAGCTGGAAGTCACGTGGGCTCCCGAGGTGATTTTTGTGTGTGGCTGTGCTTTAAGTTGCATCCTGAGGGTTCCAAGCTCTTAATCTCTTATCATTAGTAGCTGGGATGGATTAGCTTCTGTAGGTGGTTCTCATCTTCCCTTAGCATTGGGATCTACTGCCCTAGAGAAACTCTAGCAGGCAAGCACAGAAGACCACAAAGCATCCTATTAGTGGTAGCAAAAATTCTAGGAGAAAAATATTCCCAAAGCCCACATGTGCCTCGATAGGAAACAGGATTAAAAAAAAAAAGTGCAGCTGGTGGTGCCCACAGGGATTGAAGCACTGTGAGGAGGAGCTTGGTCTGCTATGCTCTCTGCTACATCCCAGCGCCTGGAACAATGCCTGGTACATATGATTGCATCTTGTAGGACCCCTGACAGCAGGAAAAAGTGAATGGATTTCGGTGGTATGCAAACACAGGAGAATGTCAGAAACAGGAGGGCAACAGATGAAGTGTCATGATCGTGGTGTGATGCCACTTTTTAAATGTCAAAATCAAGCAAACCCAAATAACACAGTATTTAGGTCTATGGCCTTCTGTGGTAACTCTACACATTGATACAAGAAAAGGACAAAGAACAAAGAGTCAGGACGATAGTGTGGCTGTAGAGAGACAGGTCCCAAGGACGGCTTTGAAGGTCCATAGAAACATTTTTTGGAAATGTTTCTCAAGCTGGGTGGAAGGTTCAGAGGCATGTGTTTTTATTATGCTTCCAAACTTATGCATTTATTACGTGCATTCACTGGATATGTAAATATTCTGTTAAACAAGAGAACTGTCAGAAGGTTGAGCAACAGGAAGCAGGCGAATGACAGAAGTTTGGTGCACCACAGGTTAAACGTGGGCTTTGCTTTATTCTTGGTTTACCAGGAGCTCCCTCTATTGGGCGGCTAGAGGATGCCCCTGGGAGCATCACTGAGGAGGTAGGCTTTGTAGAAAGGTGAGTGTATAAAGTCTCCTTGGACTTGCTGAGGGATAGCCAGCCAGCTCCACCTTCTGGGAAGAACAGCTGGGGCCTCCAGGAAGGGGCCCTGAGTCCACCATTGGTGAAGGAGCTGACCATGGCCTCCTGCTGACCCATGTTCTCCACAGCTGCTGCACACAGCCTTGGATTTTGTTCTGAATTCTAGCCTCGATTTGCCCTTTATTTTACTGTATGAACTTGGTAGACATCACCTCTTTGGGCCAGTCCCCTCAACAGAAAAATTAAGGGATGAGTCAAGGGCAGTCATGGACAACTGTGTCGGGTCACTTTCAAATTCCCTGGGGATTTTGTTGAATCACTAAATTCTTTGGGATCTCTTAGAGAGGGAGGGGTGCTATTGAAAGGGGGTCTCAGCTTGGGCACTCCCAGTTCAACCAGGAGAGCTGCTCTCAGGGATTTTCTGTGTTTAGTTTCTGTGTATTGATTTCATTTCAGAGGATGGTTCTGCTGCTAAAATAAAAAGCAATGAACCCCAAACAATTACAGATTTGGAAACCACTGATCCTAGCTATACATCCAATTATCCTGAAGAATTAAAAAAAAAAATCCCAAACTCAGATTTTTTTTAGACATTAGCCTTGACTTACTGAATTGGTATTTCCGGGGAGGGTCTCCTGGGGCTTTTGTAACAAGCTCCCTGTGTGGAACCCACAGTAGCAGCCCCTCTTTGGTCCATAGCCTGGTTTCTGGAAACCCCTACTGAGAAGGAACTTTGGCATTCTCCTCTAAGCACTGACATACTATGAGTCTGTGTTTATATTCCTCCTGTGTATAACACCTTCTGTTCCACTTGTTTATTTTTTCCCCATTCCTACAAAAACAACAGCTTCTAAGAACCAAAATATCAAAATGAAGCTGCCATCCTATTTTAATTTTTTCCCCCATGTACAAAATTTAGAATTGTTGTTTTCTTTTTTTTTTTTTTTCCCTTTCTCCCTCCTCCCTAAACATTTGTACAAAAAAACAGGCTCTTTGTTTTCCTACAAGGCCTACCGCTGTAGCTCCCACATGCTTTGGAAATCGTGCCGTTCAAGTTTGAATAGATAGTTAAAGGAGTCCAGGGAGTCATTTCCCCTGGCATCGTTTGGGCGACCAAATATTTCCAAACTGTGTTCTGACATGATCTTTGAAATAGTTCTCCCTTCCTGTTTGCCCCCACCCACTAAAAACATATAAGCATGCTTAATCAAATAGCCCACGAGAGAGGGGAAGAAAAGGGCTGGGTCACCGGCTCTGGCGTGGTGTGTGTGGTTAGTACCACTTAACAAAGAAATATGATTCTTAGAAAGGCCAGTGAAGGGCGCACGAAAGGCTTGATGGAATACGTGGGCCAACCCACAAGGTCAAACTGAGAACATTAAGACTCTCAGTCCACAGAGATGAAGGCCGCACTGGGGAGGCGATCAAAGCCACGAGGCCACAGAGGGCATCCGTACGTGTTTATCCAGCTCCCAAGTCCATGATTGGGCCAGGAGGAAAAATCTAGGGAAAATAGAAAAAGGGTTAGTTTATACAGTGAGTCATAAACTTCTGGTACAAGTCACTCCCAAGGTATGGTCTGGGTTGAAAATAATAAAAGTTCAAAGAAGGCATAATGTATTTATGAGCCGTAGAGGCCCAATGGTTTATAGAGAGTGAATTATGCGGGCCTGTGGTACCTCTCTGGTGTTTTGTGTTTGGGTTGGTACCGTGTCCGTGACAGAATGCTAAGCTGTGTTTACTCCACAGGTGATCTAATAACAACAAAATTTACGTCCTTAAGGGGGAAAACACCTTATTCACTCAACTACCCTAAAAATTGTAAATAATGGACACAATTTCCTCACTCTGTAGGAGATGGTCTTGCTTCAAGAAAAGTCTCCAGCCCTTTTGGAAGCTGAGTAGTCAGTCAGTGGCTGAATCTGTTTTCAAGAGCACAGTGAGGGAGGGGCAGGATTGAAACAACTGTAATGACCAGGACACCATGTAGCCCCTAGTCAGATTAGCAGGGCCAGCCAGGGGAGACAGGAAGGGACTTCCATACTAGTGAGAAAGCCCTGAGAACAACCCTTCATGCCACATGGGGATTCCTTTCCGGGGCAGATGTGGCCTTTCCATTTTCTCATCACTCCTCGGTTATACAATGGGCTGACAGTCGAAGTGGACAGACAATAGAATCCCACATCTGGGATGGGAAGTCAGTCAAAGAAAGGGGTGGAAATAAGTAGGGAAAGCAGGTGTTGTTAGCATTTCTCACACTCCTTCTCAGGTTCCAATGAAACATATCCAGAAATAAATTATTCTATCAGTAGTACACCAAACAGTGGGAGAAAAGTTGATTCCATCTCAGCTTACCAAAATCAGATGGTATAATTGGTGGAGACATCTAAGAAGTTTGAGTAAAATTTTTTCCATTCATCACCATGTAACAAACCACTCCAAAACTTGGTGGCTAAAGGCAACAACCACAGAATTATGCTAATGAGGTAGTAATTTGAATGGTTCATCTCTCCCCACAATGAATGGGGCCACCAAATGGCAGAGGACTCAAATCTATAAAGGTTTCTTTACTCTCAGGGATGGCCCCCCGGGGTGGTGGTGACTTGAAGGCTGGGCTCAACTGGAAGTGTCAGCCAGAGCACCTACCCGTGACCTCTCCATGTGGCTTGGGCTCTTCACGGCTCACAGGCTGGGTTACAAGAGGAGCATCTAGAGATGGAGCAGATGGATGTGCATGGTCTTTTTTGACATAGTTTCTGAAAACATGAAGTGTGGTTAGTTTGGCTGTATCTTTTGGCATCACTGAATCACTGAGGCCAGTGTATATCCAAGCGTGGAGTGTTCAGTTCCCCCTCTTGATGGGAGGATGAGAAGATTATACTGTAGAAGAGCATGTCAGAGGGTAGCTACTTCCATGGCCATCTTGGAAAACAAAATACAACCTACCACAAGGATTAGATTTTACCCTCCCACACACATTAAGAGTTCAGAGGGGATTCTTTTGGCATCCAGGGGACAGAGAAGGCTTTTTCGGGGGTATGGGAGGATTAAGAGCAATATTTGTAACATCCATTAAAAGAAAGGACCTAAATAAAATTCTTTGGTAAAGAGTGTGCAAGCAAACAAATAAAACCAACATGGAGTCTCTGGAACATTTCTGTAACTTGAGCAAAGGAACCTTTGCCTTGAGGATACAGATGGAACATATCTGAAAAATGAACTACTACAGGAAACAGAAGAATGTTATTGAAGTTTTCTTTGGAAGGATGAACGAACATAACAGAAACTATAGACAATTGCATCCGTTACCACCAAGAGAATCTGGGGAGGCTTCTTAGAATGCAGAAGCGATAAAAAAGATGAAGGCGGTAACAGTAAAGTTAATATGGAAGCCAGAGCCTGGATAGTGGAGGCGTGGATATCAGGGGTTTCTGATGACCAGGTCAGCACACATGGTATCAAAGTAATAATAAAAGATATAAAGAAGAAAACTTTCCCAAATGGAAGAAAGATCGAGTCAGCATTTGATAGCACTTAATAATTCCCAGAGAAAATAAACAGAGTTAAGTGCTTTCAGACATATCCTGGAAAAAAAAGTGTGTGTACCTTTATAGACAAGTAAAAGCATTGCTACAAAATCCTGAATCCCAAAAAGGTTTTGAACAAAATTCAAGCTGAATGCAGGCTTCATCTCTACATTATTAACTACCACATAAAGAGAAATCTCTATGACACAAAGCACTCGGTAATAATAGGGTATTGAGGGAACAAGTTTTGACCCAACTCTTTTTTCTAGTTTTTGTTAATGTGTAAAAGTAACACATAGACAAAGCATTCTCTTGTTTACCAGGGTTCAGACCGACTGTCACACATGTACGATTCTTAGAAAATTATAAATATACATCTGCAGACAACTTTTGGAATAAGGAAGTAAACATTATAAATAGTTACTAATAATTATGAGGACTCCAATTTCATATTGAATTAACAAAGACTGACTGACAAGTAGTTAGGGGAGAATAATGCTGATGCCTTCAATTTACATAAGGAATGGTGATAAATGGACTTTTTCTACTTCTAGAAGTCTCTCTGAAGAATGGTAGAGCAGATTGCAGAAAAAACCCACCATAATATTCTAAAAGTTGTTGCAACTGAGAAAAAGAGTAAGATTTTCCAGAGTATCCCCCAAAGCCTACAGCCTTCAAACTCGAGAGCAATAGATAAACTTAGCAGGTGGGAACAAGAGTTTGTAGACAGAGAGTTGAAGGTTTTATATATTTGTGCATATATACATATAGATGTATAAATTTTTAATTCATTTTTTGAGTATTAGTTAAAAATATAAAAGTTGTACATATTAGCAGATAAGACAATGTTTGATACATGTACACATGATATAATATTTAAATCAGGTTAAACATATCTATCTCATTTATCATTTCTTTGTGGTGAAAACTTTCCAAATCCTTTCTTCTAGCTGTACATTTTAAATGTACAGTACATTTTCTGCAGTCATTATACTGTGCATTAGAAACTCAAGAGCTGCAGGTCATATTTAAAGACCTGTTTATATAAGGACAGGGAGTCTACTTCTCCCTTCATAAAGTCGGACAACCAAGTATTTTGCTCTGGGCAAGAACAACAGCAGCAACAAAACAAAAATCCAGTGTATTCTTTTTCTAAAGAAATTGAACAAATATTTAGGGAGAACTTGGGCTGTTAGTGTGGGTATTATGGTCCTGGAATAAAGCCCTTCAGTTCTGTCACTTTTGTAGCTCATGATAAAGCTGGTTCTTCCCTCTCCACCCCACTACCCCAAGGGGAAGCCTGTCAGCTGGCCAGTTGTCCTTAGCTGGACTTACATTTGAAGTTTATAACATCAAAGGTAAGTAAAAGGTAATCACAAAAAACTGACCTCTGAAGAAACAGAGAATTTAGGGAATTCAAAATAATTTAAAAACAATAATAACTACTATTCTCCGAGAGAGTTAAGAAGATATTGGAGCCTGTTGCCTCTATAAGACAGGAACAAATGATATGAAATTGAAAACCATTAAGAACAAGGAAGGGCACTTGGCAATGAGAGATGATGGTTCAAATAGAGCATTCACCAGAATAACTAGAAGAAAAAGTTGAGCAAGTGTCCAAATAGTAGCCCCCAAAAGAGAAGATAGGAGAAGGGGAAAGACAGAAGTCAACTAAGGTGAACCCAAGTGTCAAGGGGATGGATTTAGCAAAAAATGAAACCAGTGTGACCTTGCCAAAAAATAGTTTTACGTAGCAATAGAGCGAATACAGCATCAATATCCAAATGAGGTGAATGAGATGATTCAATTTAGTTTAAGATGATTGGCTTAATGGTTTAAAGTTGGTGGGAGGAAAACCTGAGTCTCTTTCCAAATATAAGCTCCCAACTCATACATGGTTCAAAGGAGGATAACTTCACTGTCTTAGCATCTTACTACAGTAAACTACTACTCTACATTAATTGTCACTTCTGGTTCCAGGTGGCTGTACATGAGGGAATGACCTGGGGTTATAAGCGAGCTGGGCCAAGGATATCCAGATTATCAATTTATTTTTCAGGACTCTGGATTCCCTACCATTATGGATCTCAGTGGTGATTGTGTTGAATTGCAAATAGTCAATCTCTGTAGAAGGGCATTTGCATTATTTGATTAGTTTTTCCAATTATCATACCATAAAATGGTACATGATTTCTTATATAAGCAGTTTGGGAATTTTCTGGAGGTAGGCATTTTAGTTTTCTGCACATAAATAAGCACATACAAATATTAGAAGAAATAAATGAAGACAAGGCAGCAGGAAAACTGGTGCTTAAATCACATTTTTCAAAGATTTCTATGACATATTCATTGACCCTAAAACAGTATATCACCAGCATTCTAGAGTAGCTTATTATATTGAAATTATTATTATTATTTTTTTCTGTGGGTGGAAGCTGCCTTCCAGGTAGAATTGTCTTGGAGATCATCGTTTAACTACAAATGGAGGGTTTCCAGCTCTGTGATGCTCTTTAACTTTGTACCATTGGCAGGAGGCAAAATGATAATGGGTAATAGCTAAAAAAGTCACTTTTTATATAGCAAGCAAGCTTGAGACTTTCAGTCCTGCAAATTAAGTTAAAATGAATGGCTTCTGAACAGCACATTGGGTGACAGGAAGTTTATAAATGTTATGTCTCCTGAGGTGTTCCAGTAATAGTAAGTTTGGGCAGAATAAGCTTTTTCTGTAACTATCTCCTTGGAAAGACCAGCGGTCTCCAGAGAGATTGGTTAATAAAGTCAGTTACCTGAGTGTTGAAAATGAAATAGAAAAGGTAGGAGAATAAAAAAAAAAAAAGACTTGAAAGGAGAAAAATGTTAATATAGCCAATTCAATGCTTCTCCTACCAGAGTGCTATTCAAGGCAGGCCAACCTACGGTTTGGTTTTGCTCTAATTTCAATTTGCATGACAGCCTCCAAAAACACAGGGTTCTGTGTTTGGGTCAGGCAGAGGTGACTCGCAGAAGTTGGTGAACATGAGATGTAGGCATGGTGCTGGGAGAGGGCTGGAGGTGCCACCAGGAGGGCGACCAGGCTGTCAGCTGCAATCTCACAGCCCATTCTTTGTGGAATGTGGCGGTGTCACCATAGACTGGGCTCATTCTGCTGTTGCTTTGGCAGCTCTCAGCTGGAATGGAGGTAATGGCAAATGGTGTGCCTGTGTGTCACACTCCGGCAGTCATTCCAGCAAGGGCATTTTAATTTTCTCATGTCATGGTGCTCTCAGAGGAGACAGAAGTGCCTTCTGAAATGCCTTGACACTTTGAGATCCTTGGACAAATGGTGCCAGATAAGTTCAAGGACAGAATATGTTTAGGTATGCGTGAGAGGGATTGTCTCCTGGAAAGAGACTGTGATGTTTGCCTGAAGTTTTATTTTATTTAAATTTTTATTCTTGGGCTAGGGCAAGTTTCTGAAGCAGCAGTAAGAGTGAGAGATTGAGGTCTCTTTAGATTTCACAGGCCACCAACCCAAGTCTCATGGTTTCATTTTATGCGTGTAATTCTACATATGTTTACACATAGTTTCTTCTATTTTCTGGTAGCCCTAGAAGTTAATAGTGTTGTTGTTAAATAAATGAATGTATTAATTTTAATGTGAAATGATTTTTGAAAAAGCAGTAATGTTTCTTTGGGAAGGCTTCATGAAGTATTCATTTTTCTATCACCACACTGTAAATCTATTTGCCAGTGATAATCATTTTAAGATTTAGTTTGCTTGCTCTCTGGTTATTAGTTTGATCGAGAGGGCAAAGAGGAGGGCATGACATCATTTTATCTTCTCTCTCCCCACTTCTGCCTCCTTTCTCTGCTTCCAATGCCATTGCTCCAGTTTAGCTTGTATCCCTCATTACCTGGACAGTAGCCTCCTCTTTGCTAGACTCCTTAGTCTAGTCCTTTTGTACATCTTCTATAAAAAAGTGGTATTTTCTTGAGACACAGCTGATCACATCATTTCCTCCCATGATTTCTTTTGCTTAGAATATAAAATTCAAACCTCCTGCAAAACCACTCTTATATTGACCCATACCTATCTAATCTAGTGATTCTTAATGAAGGTTGATTTTGCATCTTTGGAGAGATTTAACAGTGTCTACAGGTATTTTTGA